AAAAAAAATAATAATAATTATAAAGAGAAAAATTGAAACAAACATGACACAAAGATAAGATCTGACAGTCAGAGCCAAGAGACCTGTTGTTCAAGAACTATGTTAGAGGCAAGCTATGGGGCCACTGAAGACAGCAATTTGGAAGAAATGGAAGAGGAAGTAAGTACAGTTTAAGAAGAGAAAAAGATGAAAAAATGTGGACAGAGATCCTGTGAAGGAAGATGTAGAGAAAGCTAAGAAGAGGTGAGGCCACCCTCCAGCTGAGAAGCTGTCATCAAATCCCCCAAAGTGACAAAACAGATGAATGCTATCATTGATACTATGATCATCTACAAAGATAGTTCAGGGCGGCAGCTCAGTGGAGTCCTCATTCAGTTACCTTCCAGGAAAGAGTTACCAGAATACTATGAATTAATTAGGAAGCCAGTGGATTTCAAAAACATAAAGAATTTATAATTATAAGTACTGGAGCGTGGAGAAAGATGTCATGCTTCTGTGTCACAATGCTCGGAGATTCATCTCAGAGGGATCCCAGATCCACGAAGACTCCATCATCTTACAGTCGGTGTTTAAGAGTGCACGGCAGAAAATTGCCAAAGAGGAAGAAAGTGAGGAGGAAAGCAATGAGGAAGAGGAAGAGGAAGAGGAAGAGGAAGAGGAAGAGGAAGGGGAGTCTGAGTCTGAGGCAAAATCTGTTAAGGTGAAAATCAAGCTCAATAGGAGAGATGAGAAAGACCAGGACAACGGAAAAGACAAGAAAAGGCCAAATCAAAGGAAAGCAAAGCCAGTGGTGAGCGACCTTGACAGCGACGAAGAGCGGGATGAAAACAAAGCAAGTGGGACTGTTGATGCCTGATCTCCGTGAAACTGAATATTTTTCCTCCCCTCTAGCATTTCTACCCAGTTAGCTTCACATGTCCTGTGGGCACTGGGTTCTTTCTGTGTCCTCCTCCTCATCTTAGAAACTAGCTTTATTATTATTATTTTTAAAACTAGCTTTAGAATAGTGCCAGACAAACATATGATATCGTGGTGTAAACAACACAAAGTTTAT